TATTGATCATATCCAATTAAAAAATCTATATTTCATATTTTTCCCTAGAGTCTTCCATAACCAAACGTAAGGCTGTCTATGTCTAATCTTAATTAAAACTATAATTTGAAAAAATAAAAAATAATACAATTGATAAATAAAAGATAGTTGGCATCATAAACTAATGTTATTAACCCATTGATTGTCCATCCCAAAGATCTTTGCTGAACAGGTAAAATATGGCTAAGCTTTGATTTATTTTAATACTAAATAGACTGACTACATACCTGTATATGTATATGTAGATCAGCAACTGGCTTATGTCAAGGACTGATCACATTTGACATTGCCTACCATAAAAGTTGAAATGTGGGTCGTTCATAAGTTTCATAAGCCATTGCCAATTCTAATGCGAATTCTCAGCGGGCCATTGTAGAGTAAGTGCAACAGCAACAGCAGCAGCAGCAACTGTAGGCAATCATGGGCAATTAAAGCCACATGCTTACATACATATGCATGCAAATGTACATGCATATGCTTAAATAGCCAGTTTAATTTTCAAGGCCAACGCGGGACAGACTCTATGCAAAGCGATCGACAGCAGCAACTGTAACCAAGTTAAGAGCAGTAGCGAGCGCAACAGCAGCAGCAGCAGCAGCAGCAGCAGCAGCAGCAGCAACAACAACTGTGGATGAGATACTATTGCAATTATGTACGCAGTAACTATGCGAAATCGTTTTTGCAGGCGTAACGACTGCCTGACTGACTGGCTTACATAAGAAACTGGGCTCCAGCTGCAGTTGCTGCTGCTGCTGCTGCTGCTGCTGGCAACAGAGGGAAATATATGTGCCACAGTTGTCCAGCGGTTGCCGTGTTGCAACTTATCGACATCATCAGCCAACTGGCTGGCATAAAAAGAAGTTGTTATTTAGTGGCCGGCCGTGTTGTCTCTCTTCTGGTCGTGTCTGCACTTTGGGGACAGCTCTTTAAAGTGATTCTCGAATTGAACCTGTTGTCGTCACCCCGGCCAATCGAGTCGATATGCCTTTAAATGCAAGGGACTCGGACCGATTTGGAGCGATTGCTGCAGTTGCCCAAAGTGGCATGCATGCATGTACATGCCGCATGCATGCATGCACTCTGAGTTTTTCATCTTTGGCGTCAAATTGACAAATTTGTCCGCAGTCCGCTGGCCAATCAATGCCCATGCGCCGCTATTGTACAATCTGAATTGCTGGCATTTTATTTAGATATTTTGTTGGCTGTGAATTTCAGCTGCGGCCTGAGCGTTTCATTGCAATTTGCAATTTGTACGCAATACGATTTTTTCAGCAGCTGCCGGCTGCATTTGCTTGTCGTTTCGCCATCGATAATAAAGAAATGTTAGGCAATGCGTGCGACAGACGAAATGACAACAACAACAACAACAACAACAGCAACAACCAATGTAAATGATGGCCATGTATAAATGTAAATTAAAAGTCGTCTTATAGACATTTACTGTTATTGTTGTTGTTGTTGCTCCGCCATGCTCAATCAAATATATTTTGGTCTTCACTCAGGCACTCAGTAAATAGACCATTACCTAAATATAAATACACACATATGAGTGTGTGTGTGTCCCCTCTGCAAGTGGATCGACCAAAATGCTTTGTCCCACAAGTGCCTTGCAAATGGCACACTCCAACTAGTGCCGGATATGGATACGGCTAACGACTTACGGCTCTGGCTTTGATTTTGGCTTGAGGGGGAAAGCGCTGCGGCCCAAGTAGTTGCTAAGCTGTTGGCTGTTAGCTGTGCGCTGTTAGCTGTTAGCTGTTTTGTCGTCGAGTGGCCGTCGCAAGTGCGTTCGAAATGTTACTCAAACTATTATATGAAAACACATTCCACGCCCCGAACCTTTCGCTGCCTTCCTTACAATCAGCAATCGACGCACTCGACTCTTCTCATGCACAATCGTATTGCGCGCACATGACTTGGACATCTATCGACGCATCTCCAGTCCGCAGCTCCACTCTGTCATTAAAGCCGAATTAAAAACGATTTGCTGCTTAGTCATTTGATTGGCAGGGCTCCGAGTAATTTGTACAACAGAGAATGGAGGATTATTTTTACGAAATTATGCTTTATTGATGCTTTATTTATGATTTGCATTTGTTGCTGGGGTGGATGATTTTCATTCTGCTATTGCTATGAGGCGACTTGGCCCAGAGTATTGCGTGAAATGAACTAAGTGTAGACTGGTTTGTGAGCATAGGAAAGGCTTTTAGACGAGATTAGGGTAATCTTGCATCTAAAAAAGACAAATGTATTAATATTTGAATAAAAACTTTTGCTTTTTAATTAAATGTACAAAAAAAATT